TCAAAATCAGCAAGAAGTAAGTATTATTAGGTGCTTTACTATTAGATATTGATGCTAGCATCAATATTTGACCACAAATCAGAAACATGGACTTTATCCTACCTTAAATTTTCGAACCGAGAGGGTGACCTTATTTCGACTGTTAGTTTACATTAGTAGGCCTGTGTGCTTCTACCCAAGAGCGGATTTGCAGACCCGCAGATTGTTTTTATTCATCATCATCATCATCATCATCAGTTTACATTAGTAGGCCTGTGTGCTTCTACCCAAGAGCGGATTTGCAGACCCGCAGACGGCGCGCGCTTGGCGAGCTACATGTCAGACCTACAGAGCCACTCTGGGACCTGCCTTACGATGTGCAAAGGCTGACTTGCTTGACAGGATAATCAAAATGACACAAAGAACTAGATAGAGTTTCGGCCACAAGCGAAAAGTAATCTTTCCCAAAATATGAACATAATTGTAGTGTTTTTTTAAACTTTTTTTTTTCGAGGCGACATTACTGAATTGTGACTGAAGTCATTCGTATTGCATGTTCAAGTGCCAAAATAATCGAGAAAATATTTCAATAGATATGTATTCCTCTTGGAGCAAAACGTAATTAGATCTATAACTTTAAAACATGCAGTGGAAACAGCGGCCTCGAGATTTTTAAACAATTGTGAATATACAAATAGAAGACAAAGGAGCAGAGATGACAATAATACAAATGTATTATAATAAATCAATTCGGTTTCAAATTTGGCTGTTTTTATTTAGCCTTCGTGGCCTGAAGTTTCTGCCTTTTATCGTTTCATGACCTAATTATAGTGCAGAAGAAATTCTAGGGGAAAAAAGCTAACAGCGGCCCTTAGATTAATAAGAGTAAGTTCTCCCCCTCCTCTCCCCTTAACCTTTTGAAGTAAACTTTTCCAATCTAATTGCTGTCTTACATAATCAGTGGTTATCCCTGTTTATGAAAGTGGCCCGAAAGGAATGAACGAGGTATTTATATAGGCTAGTCTTTGACGAATTTATAAACTCTTATTCAAATGTATACGGCCTACGTCTATGATTGAATTAAACTGTAACGAAGGTCCCACTTCATGGAAGGGAAGCAGTGATTATTTGATTAATGTATAGACCCTTCGTCTCTGATTTATTAACATATTAAATACCACAGTCTGTCAATTGACAGGTCTATATATGATGATATGGTTTACTTTATTTCACTTTGCAGAGAAAGCAGACTCTCTGTTTGTGTTTTACTTTGTAACACCTGCAATCTTCAGCACTTATATGACCTAATTGGGTTGTAAGTGCCGTAAAATTCTTTCTAAATCAATTCAGTGTACAGGGTGATAAAAAGTGTACAACTTTTTTTCTAAATATCTCACACAAAATTTGTACTGAAATGTTGTTGTTTTTTGGAACATATGAAAATTCATTCAAAAGGAATTTGTTTGACATAAAATTCACAAAGAATAAAATTATTATCGAAAACCGAAATGGCTTTTATAAAAACCACCAATAAAAGCAAAATGCACGAATCTCACAGATCTTGTACAGAAAGTCATGAAATAATTGGATTGTTTTTTTCTTTCCTTTTATTAAAAAAAATCTAACTTTTCCATCCGTGAAAACGTTTAAACGATAGATCTGGATTTCTATTTCTTTTCTCTTACAGGGTAAAGAATTTTTTTTTGTTCTGGAATTCCGAGAACCAATTGCCTATATTATTTTTTATGTCTTCCTTTGGATTCGACACATTTTAACGCGTCGTCCGTAATGTTCACTGGTGGTGGCCAAACACAATGATCCACTCCGGCATGGGTACTCAAAGCGACACACACTGTACACTTTCAGTATGGAGCTGTATCTGGAGACAATTGGGGGGGGGGTTGAGGTTGCTCAAGTAGACAGAATTCGTGGAGTTGATGTAACCTGGAAGGTAAATATGGGCTTCGACAAGGAACCAAATGTCACAGAGGAAATGTTCACGCTTTTCAAATGATCGATGAATCATGAAAACATTGCTATCCTCAGATAGCTTCGCGAATGGGAAAATGGTACAGTCGTAGATGAAGGTATGCCTTGAGAATGCGGAATGTAGAAAAGTCATTGCTGCCGGCATCGTCTTCGGACAGACGTCTCATGGGGCTCATCTACTGAATTCTGAACGTTTAAAGGTGTGCCAACGGTGTGTGTTTGACCTGAAGTGGTCGTTTTGTCTAGAAATGTTTGTTCTGATTCTCTACAGATCGACCATTTCGATCGTTGTCATCAAAAAAATCTTTAACCCTAACAGTACGTCTTGTTTTACTATCGTATCCATACGACGTGAGGAACTCTGTGCAACCACTTTCCAAAGAGGAAATTACTCGTTAATCCGATCATAGCAGTCATTCAAAAAGATTTTTTGAGAAATACTGAAAGCTTCAAAGAGATCTTCCCGCTAGAAAGTATTCTAAAATGTGAAGGATACAACCTCGGGGGTACAAAATGACCCTAGGGCGTACGGATAGAGCTAAGGCACTTTAACATTATTCCCGTTGTTCGAAACTTACTAAATGAGTTGGTGTTGAGGAAATGTTCAATACAAAAAGATTTCTGCTCTTTATTTATCTTAACCATGATCTCAGCAGGAAAAGGAAACTTAAGAAAAACTATCTGCAAACTTCTGTTGGCCTGTTAAGACTGCTGTAATTTGCAATATGTAGCAATCGTTGGAATTTTTAGTGGTAGGCCTAAGGCAAACTAGCGCGTCATGTTACAAAAATAGAGACATAGCTGAAATTGGTTTGTTTTTTTACGTGGTTTGTAGAGCAAAGCTATTTGGTGAATTCATCTAAAATGAATATCAAACAAATTCCTTTTGACTCACAAATGTTGTTTACAAATTTAAAACACGCAAAACTTCAATGTAGAGGAAAATATCAGCAAAAGAAGTTGTACAGTTTTTGTTGTGGGGTTGTTGTTGTTTTTTTGGATCACTCTGTGTTACGGAACACAGGCAATACAAAATTAAATATTCTTACGAATAATTTGATGAAATATAAATACGAACTACTACCTTTTTCAACTGCACAAAACTTTTTATTTGTTTGAAACACACAAGAGTAGGTTGATTTTCCGTACTGTGACTTGACGATGGGTCCGTCCCCTTCCTCCTGACTTCACTGTTCGTGACTGACTTTTGGTTTGGTCCTCACTCGAGTCCCACTTTCTCTTGACTGGCGTTTCTCAAGCAAGAAAACTAGTGATTAACCTCCC